ACGACCGTAAAAGAAACCTGCGTGTGTCTGATTTGCGGGGCAACTGTGGCGACGGCAAAGCGGCACAATGTGGAGAGACACTTCACTTTGTGCCACAAAAGCTACCATGCTAACTACCCACCGGGAAGCGCACTACGGGCTGAAAAAGCACATCTGAAATACGCACTCATAGTTGCAGTGTCAAGTTACACACCAGATTACAATGCACTGGTGAACAGCATGCAATGCCAATCTGTTAAAGATTTGGTCATGAGATTTCAGATTTCTTTTTAATATGTGAGTTGATTTTTCTTTAACATTAGATAATTGATAACTTTTTGAAACATGGTGCAACATAGTTCATGATTTGTTAAAAGGTTTTGTCAGTGGCTAGTGAAAATGAGTGAAATTGAAAACCCCTATGTAAATGTAGTGATGTACAGTAAGTGATCATCTGAAAATTTAACAGTTGCTGAGAAATAAATAGACATAAAGTGGGGGATATTGATATGTTTCCCATTTTGTTGTCACTGTTGTCACAGATGAGTATCATTAATGATTATTAATAAAGTATAGTTAAAAGCATATTGAGCAAATGTATCATTTCAGAAGAGTGTATCAAACTGGTAGCCCTTCGTGTGACTCAGTACCCATGAAGTAGCCCTCCGTTTAAAAAAGGTTGGTGACCCCTGCTCTACGCTGTGCCTTTGACTAAGTGATAAGAATTGATGGTCACATGGTGCATCCTGACACACCGTTGACATATCCCCACTTTTCATTGTGCAGAGTCAGGTTGTATCGAGTGAGTCATGACACTCAGACTAGTGAAGTGATTACCCAGTTGTTAGTACAAAAACGCCGCCAGGAAATCGTTTTCCAAGCGGCTCATTATAACCCACACAAAACACTGAACTGAATAATGGCCCGATTTTATTGCCCAGGCATTCGGGCAGACGTACGCCGCAGATGTGCGGTCTGCCCTGAATGCCAATTGGTTAATCCACCGGCCATCCAGAGGGCGCCTCTACGGCCCCTACCTCTGATGGAGGTCCCGTTTGAAGGGCTCGGGATGGACCTGATCAGGCTATTCCACCAGAGCACACGCGGATATTGGTTTGTGTTAGTCCTTGTGGATTACGCAACCCGATATCCGGAGACAGTGCCGCTGCGCACCATCTCTGCAAAGAGTGTGGCGCAGGCACTGTTTAAGGTAATCTCCCAAGTCGGGATCCCGAAAGAGATCCTGACTGACCAAGGCACTCAATTTATGTCACGGACACTGAGAGCTGTATGGATAGTTGGACAGCAAGTCGATTTGGACCAGTGTGTACCACCCTCAACTTGACGACCTTGTGGAGCGCCTGAATAAGACTTTGAAGTCCATGTCCGTAAGTTTGTGCACGATGATAACCATCATTGGGAAAAATGGCTGAACCCTCTGTTGTTTGCAGCGCAGGAGGTACCCCAGGCCTACACAGGATTTTCTCCTTTTGAGCTACTGTTTGGCAGGCAACCAAGTGGGTTTTAGAATCTGGTTAAAGAAAGCTGGGAGGAAGGCCGTAGCCCCAGTAAAATTGAGGTTCAGTATGTCCTGGACCTAAGAGCACGATTATGAGCTTGAGCGATCTACCTGACAGGGGAGGGGGTACACAGATTTATCACCTCAACCTCCTTAAAGCTTGGAGGTAGGCTGAGTGTGTTTCACTGGTAACAGCAATTGCAGAGAGAGATGAGTTGGGGCCTGAGGTACCAAAGTCAGCCAATCCTGCCTCGATCCACTGTGAGAACCATCTCTCACTATCCCAGAAAAAAGACATAGCCAGGTTGCCACAGCGCTATGCTGATGTGTTCTCCCCCCTGCCAGGACGCACATGCATAATTCAACATAAGGTTGAGACTCACCCGGGCGTGTCAGTGCGTTCACGGCCCTATCGGTTGCCTGAGCACAAGAGAAAAGTGGTTTAGGCTGAATTGGAAGCAATGTTGGAGTTGGGGGTGATGGAGGAGTCCAACAGTGCCTGCTGCAGCCCCATTGTTCTTGTGGGTAAGAAGGATGGGTCCATCCGGTTCTGTGTGGACTATCACAAGGTGAACGACGTGTCACGGTTTGATGCCTACTCTATGCCCCGGGTCAACAAACTGCTGGATCGCCTGGGCACGGCTCGTTTTTTCACGACACTGAATTTAACCAAGGGCTACTGGCAGATTCCCCTATTGCCATAGTCCAAGGAAAAAACGGCCTTCTCCACTCCGTACGGGTTGTACCAATTCGTCACGCTTCTGTTCGGGTTGTTCGGGGCCCCAGCCACATTTTAGCGCCTCATGGACCGGTTGCTGCGGCCGTATGCTGCATATGCTGCCACCTACCTGGATGATGTGATCATCCACAGCAACACCTGGGCAGAGCATGTGCGGCAGGTGGCCGCGGTGCTCGAGTCCTTGAGGCAGGCGGGGCTCACGCCCAACCTGCCGAAGTGTGATTGCCCTATCCGCACTAAGGATGCTAACGTGCGGAAAACCCGTTGGTATCTGGCTTTACAGACTATGAAGTTCAGGGTGGTCCATAGGCCGGAAAGGCTCAGGAGAGCAGTCCCAGGGGAGGTGATTAAGCACACGTGGAATCAGTTGGCTAATCACTCTCCCCTCTGTAAAAAGAGTAGCGTGCTGGACCTGGGGAAGGAACGAGAGCGGGAGAAAGACCCGAGCCACCAGATCGGAACAACCAAAAAACAGCCCACGCTGGGCGTGTGTGTGCGCTTGTATGAGAAAGGTGTGTATGTGTGAGTGCACACACGCTCGAATAAAACGAGAATTCTGTCGAGTCACCCACAGTGGCAGTACTGCCACACAGGCTATTAAAAAATATGCTGTAGTTAAGCTGCGTTTTCTAAAAACATTACATTTGTTAACATTATCAAGTAAATGGAATAGCACTCTGAAATTACCTGAGGTTAACTTGCAAGTAAAGTAAATGATATGTTGCATATTACTCCAACTAGATTTCTTAGTGTGGGAGTCAACAATTAATCCAACATGCATGTGTTTGGGAAGTTGAAGGAAGCCATTGTATCCACAGAGAACTGAAATGGACAGGAGCTGCATGTAAAACTAGGACGTAAAGGGATTTGAACAATATGAGGCAACAGTGCTAACCACCAAACATAATTGACAGAAGCAAAGAACTTTATCAGTTTCAGTTAAGTCATAATGTGTATAAAACAACCATTAAGATTCAACGATCAAAGTTTTATAAGTATGTTACTGAAGAATTAGTTCAGATATGTTTTAACATATGCTGATTGAAGGGATTTTCTTATTGGCCACATTGGCCTCTATTTAGTGAAAAAAAGTCAAATATAGAACATAATTGGGATAAAATAGTTGCAGATGATGCATAACATATTGGGGGGTTTGGTCCTCAATATTTAGTATACAAGTTATCCCTCTGGTATTTAACTACATCACCAGGGAATCACATGATTTGATAATGTTGATAGTTTTATTATTTCTTTATCATCAACATTGTAATTGCCTAATACAAGGACTAGCACAGGGGCCCAACACTGACATTTAGATAGTAGTCGCAGATAGTAGTTTATAGATGTCGCAATGTCCTTGGCCTAGCTTTATGTTCAGCCCATATTTTTTAAGGAAAATGACCAAATACTCCTCGTGTGGAGGTATATATAGGCATGTAAGGTTCCACAGGTATTAATGGAGACCCCCTTAAAAATGATCTTTGTGTCTGTTCACACATACTTCAATGCCCTCCAAAAGACCTGGATTGCCCTAAACTCCATCGTTCCTCCTAGGGACATTGTCTGACCCTACAGTCCATAAGGGCATGGCACTCCATTATATTCTTATCTGTGGTCCCCTGTTAGAATGATCCATCAAATCATACCAGACCAGGGTCCTCTTCTCTACCTTTGAGAAGCCCTCATAGCAAACATTTTATTGCCACTAAGACCCAGCACACTGGACATTGAAATGTAATGTCCCTTCCAGCTAGTGGGAGCAAGCATATTTTTGCCCAGTGCCATTATAGGCAACCATGCCCCTCTTGATGATCAATCTGTGGCTTTACAAGCACCATAGTTCCTCTAATGGGGGTGATGAAGCTTCTTTATCATGATTAGAGTTTGCAGAGATCTACCACATTCAAGGGCAGCTGGCTGCACAGTTCACTAACTCGGTCAGCAGAGGTGACAGAGGTCAAAGTTGCCCTTGGCTTGGAATACATAGCCCTGCAGATTTCATACACACTTCAAACGTATATGGCTATTGAGAATACAAGGGGATACTATTTCAGCAGTCACACCAAATAATTTTCTTTGGGCATATATTTTAATTAAATTAAATTAAATTAAATTCAACAATTCCCACCAAGAGCAAGCACTAGGCGACACAGGCAAGGAAAAATGTCCTTTTAAAAGGCAGAAACTTCAAGCAGAACAATGGCTCAGGGTGGGCGGCCATCTGCCTCGGCCGGTTGGGGGTGAGAGAGAGAGAGGGCAAGAGAGACTATGGGAAAGGGAAAGAGTCGAGTAGTAACATGCGTTAATGGAATGAGGTTGCACTAAGAGGGAGAGAGAGAAAGGTTGCTATGGCGGCGCCCTGAGAGGCTGCGGCTGTATACAGCTCTCCACAAATTGCAGCATTTTTTAAATTTTTTTTTAATTATTAATAATTTTGACTATTTTTATTCCTTTTATTATATTATTATTTCTTAACAAAAATATGCTGCCAAACACGCTACAAACTACTCATCGACCTGGTAGATCAGTAATTGACAGCCAACGCCTGCTGGAGTTTCGGTCATGTAGGTTTTTTGGACTCGTAACTACAACTACTCTTGAATTTTTAATCGGCTTCGGACCGCTTCGGGCACAAGTCCCAGAGCCCCACACTTTGTGGAGTGGCACAATCCAGAGAAGGAGCAAGCAAAGGCGGTTTGACCGGGGCGGAAGTGCGGCTGTCGCGGTGGATTAACAAGTAAACTAAAAGCTAATTCCTACAGAACGCCGCTTCCATCCATCCTGCTCTCCAACGTCCACACACTGGATAACAAAATAGACCATTTACAACTTGAACTCACTTCAAATAGGGAGCTTGGAAACTGTTCCGCTCGCATCCTGACATGGCTTACCTCATCAATTCCGGACAACGCCATTAGACAGGAGGGGCTCGCTACTTTCCATGCAGATAGAAATAGCTGTCCCGAGGGAACGGGCTGTGTGTTTTTATAAAAAAAAACGGTGTAAAAATGCTTGATGCGGACATAGAGCTTTTGACTGTTAACTGCAGACCTTTCTACCTGCCTAGAGATTTGACTGTTGTCAGCATCACTGCTGTTTATGTGCCTCCCTGCGCTAATACAAAAGAGGCTATGAGTGTTCCTTATTGGACAATCTTCGAGCTGCAATCTGCACACGGACAGTGGAAAACTGTTCTCCCTCATTTCTACCAACACATGGATTTTGTAACTCGGGGAAAAAACACCCTAGACTTAGTTTATACTAATATAAACGATACATTCAGAGCAGCCCCCCTTCCCCACTTAAGCTCTTCAGACCACCTCTCTGTAATTCCTGCATACAGGCCCCTGCTGATCAGAGCTAAACCTACAGTGAGGCAGGCGAGGGTGTGGACTGATGGAGCCATGGAGGCACTCCAGGACTGTTTTGAGCGTTCTGATTGGGGCATGTTCAAAGCTGCAGCAACATATGACAACATGATAAACATTGTTGAGGATGCCATGACTGTCAGCCTACATCAACAAATGCATCAAAGACGTCAGCACCACAAAAAACATCATCACCCGAGCCAACCAACGACCCAGGATGATGGCGCCTGACACACCTGGAGGAGAAGAACAGCCACGTGCGGATGCTGTTGTTGGACTTCAGTTCAGCGTTCAACACCATCATCCCACAGCATCTGGTAGGAAATCTGGAACACCAAGGCTTCAGCACACCCTTTCACAACTGGCTGCTAGACTTCTTAATCAACAGACCTCAGTCAGTCCGGGTCGGACAGAACATCTCTGATGTGATCACCCTCAGCACGGGCTCCCCTCAGGGCTGCGTCCTGAGCCCCCTGCTGTTCACTCTGATGGCACATGACTGCATCCCCAGGTTCACCACCACTCACATTCTGAAGTTTGCAGTTGACACAACGGTGGTGGGCCTTGTGAGAAACGACCATGACTGGGACTACAGAGAGGAGGTGGAGCAGCTGGTGGGCTGGTGCAGAGATAACAGCCTGATCCTGAACGTGGAGAAGACGAAAGAGATCATTATTGACTTCAGGAAGTACCGGCCTCGCCACACTCCACTGCTCATCAACAGCTCAGTTGTGGAGGTGTCCAGCAGCACCAAATTCCTCGGGGTGCACATCACAGACAACCTCACCTGGTCTGTGAACACTGCATGGCTCATTGGTGACATTCAAAATCTCTCCAACTGGTCAACCAACAAAGACATTTACTATTGTGAGTGCCTTTACTGCAGGCAGACTGGGCCTTGCGGAACACTCTTACCCAGTGAAGAGACTTCAGCGCAGATATAAGCACCTCAGGAGTTTCCCCCTGCAGCCGTTCACAGCCAGACACCCACTTCTGTTGATAGGATCTGACTGCACTTGGTGACCCCGATCGAACCTGTCCCTCTCGACCCACCTGGGAGCCCAGCTGCGGTAAAGACCAGGCTTGGTTGGTCACTGCAAGGGCCAGTCAAGTCCCTCCAACAGGGCAACCACCCACCACAGTGTCTGTTCATGTCCACCATCTCCCTGGCAGCTGGACTCTTTAACCAAGTAGAGAGGCTCGGGCAACTGGACACCCTGCCATACAGAACTGAGAAGCTGGTGACTAGGTCACGGAGAGACCAAGAGGCCATGAATCTATTGGGGGTGAGTAACATGCCTATACTCACGGCGTAGCCTGAAGCGATTCTTTCCAACTTACGTAGCACAGAGAAGCGCCTTAGCAGAGACCCAGTGAAGGCAGAGGCATATCAGGCAGAGATTGTGAAGCTGAAGAATGCAGGCTATGCCTCAAAAGTTAGCCAGGAGCCGGTGAAGACTTCCGAGGAGTCGTTGTTTATCCCCCATCATCTTGTGACCAACATTGGGAAGAATTGGATTTTGTTCAACTGTTCCTATACTTATAGGCATAAGAACCTCAACGAGCTACAGCTGTCCGGCCAAAAAACCTGGGCGCACCTGGTTGTCTTGCTGTGGTTCAGGGAACATTCCATTGCTCTCAGCAGTGACATAAAGGGAATGTTCCACCAGGTGAGGTTGCTACCTGAAGACTGCCCTCTGCTTCACTTCCTCTGGCGTGATCCACAGAGAGACTCCCCACCTCAAGTGTACGAGTGACAAGTCCTTCCATTCAGGACTACTTGTTCCCCATGCCGTGCCATATACGCACTACAGAAACATGTACATGATCACACCCACCCAGGGGATGCAGTAAGTGGGTCCATCGAGAACCACTTCTATATGGACAACTGGCTACAGAGCTTCCTTACCCTTGCCAGAGATATCGCAGACCAGCTGAGGATGGCTGTTACTGGAGGGAAGCGTTGAGCTGCGACAGTGGGCCAGCAGCATGCCAGATGTCATCGGTCACCTGCCTAAGGATATCAGGTCAGAGCGTAGTCAACAGTTGCTAAATCACACCGACATGGATCCGCAAGAACCTGCCCTGGGGCTGCGTTAGTTATGCCACTCAGATACGCTGCGGTATAAGTCACGGCTGCTGGAGAGCTCCCCTGTCACCATGATGAACATCTACAAACTATTGGCCAGCCAATACGATCCCATAGGGTTCCTCACGCCCTATACTACGAGGGCCAAGGTGCTTGTTCAGCAGTTGTTGGAGAAGAAGCGGGAATGGGACGATGCTCTGATGCCCGGTGAGATTTTCACGGCGTGGCAAGATTTGGAGAATGAGTTATAGTACCTGGACCGCATAAGCATGCCTCACTGCTACATTAGTCCAGCCATGGACCAGGCAGCCTACAAGCGAGAGGTCCACATCTTCTGTGATGAGTCTCAACGTGGGTATGGCAGTGTGGGATATCTATGCACAGAAGATGCAGAGGAGCAAGTGGAGGTGGGTTTCCTGACAGCTCGGTCCCGAGTGGCCCCCAAGCGCCAGCTCTCCATGCCATGGTTGGACCTGTGTGCTGTACTTACGGGTGCACAACTTGCAAACGTGCTAACCCAAGAGCTTACCTTTGAGATATGCAGGATGGGCATGTGGACAGACTCCACAACTGTTCTTTCATGGATCCAGTCGGACTCTTGTCGCTTTAAGGTGTTTGCAGGAACCCGTATTGCATAAATTCAAGAACTGACTGATAGCCATGCTTGGCTAAGTGGAGACGTCAGAAAACCCAGCGGATGACCTCACCGGGGGAAAGTCACTGAAAGACCTCTCAGGTGAGAATCGTTGGGCTTATGGATCCCCGTTTCTGCGGCAGCCACCTGACCAGTGCCCAGTGCACCCAGTCACAATGAGTGAAGACATCACTGAAGAGCTGCGAAGGCCCACGACCTGCCTGGTTAGCATAGTAGCCAGCACACCACCATTCCATTCCTGATGCTCAGCAGTTTAGCACCTTTGGTGAACTGGTGAAAGCCACAGCGGAGTACCTTCACGGGGCGGCTGCTGATGCTAAAGGGACTCCCAGAGAAGAAAAGTTCAAGGAAGCGGAACTCAGCATCCTGCAGTCCGCTCAAAGAGACAACTTCCCTGAAGAAGTCCGGTGTCTGGAATCTGGGAAAGAAGTCCCTTCCTCCAGCTGCTTAATCACACTGGCTCCAGAATATGATGCATCAGTCCAGCTGATACGGGTTGGAGGTCAACTGAGGCGTTGTAAGGAACTGGAGGATGATATTATTCACCCTATAGTCCTTGACCCGAGACATGCTGTGCTCTTTAAATGCTTCACAACGAGAGCAGTCCATATTGAGGTTCTGTCCACCATCAACACAAACTCCTTCCTGATGGCCTTGAGGAGGTACATATCACATCGGGAGAAACCCAGCAGAGCTGCTCTCGAACCGGGGCACCAATTTCAGAGGTGGAGATAAGGAATTGCAAGAAGCTTTCCAAACCCTCCATCCTTTTCTCCAAGCAAAGTTGGCAGAGTACCAGATCAAGTTCCGCTTCAACCCACCTGGTGCCCCTCACCACGGTGGCTCCTGGGAGCGGGAAATCAGGTCTGTCAAGGCTGCTCTGACTGCTACCCTGGGCTCACAAGTTGTCAGTGGAGAAGTGCTTACCACCATCCTGATTGACATTGAGGGTATCCTTAATTCCAAATCCCTTGGCTACGTGTCATCTGACGTAGCAGAATTGGACCCGGTGACCACTAATCTTTTGCTGATGGGGCAGCCAGACCCCTTCCTACTTCAGACAGTATATCACAACTCAGAGCGGATCAGCCGGCGGCGATGGAGGGCCTGTCAGGTGCTTTCGGATCGCTTCTGGGTGCGGTTCCTGCGCCACCTACCTGCACACACTGCAAACCCGGTGGCAGTCGGAGACATCCTCTCTTCGGCTGGACACAATCTTGATGATCGTCGACCCTCAACTGCCCAGAGCATCATGGCACTGTTGGGAAAATCAAGCAGGTGCAGAAGTAGAGACTGACGACACTGAGTCAGTCTCTACGGTGAGCGATGTATCCATCGCTTTGCCACTCATGGTTCAGTGTGTGTCCAGATAATCTTCAGTTATGTTGTTTATTGCTGGACGTAATATTATTCTTGCATATTTAATATGTTTATTGGCCGGCTGGTTGAGATTATATCTGATGCTACGGTGCATATTTCTAGCGGTGTTAACTGCTAATTACCACTGATGGTTAAATGGTCCTTTATGTTATATTTATGCCACCGACCATTTATTTTGTTGTCAGTTAAATACAGGATATATATTACTATTATTTCATTTGTGTCCTACCGTTATTTATATTGATGATTATTCTTGTTTGGGTAATTCCAGAACCACACTGGATTAAAGTGCCATAAAAGGACTGACTGTCTCCATAATAAAAATAAAAATAAAAGTCTCCATAATAAAAAGTCTTTGGGGAACTTGGTGCGTTCTGACAGACGCACACTTCGTGATTACAAATCAGAGAAGCCAGTCTATTAACTTTGAACCGCCACAACAGAGCTACTTTAAAGATATAAAAAAACTTAAAATATTTCCTAATAAGTAATCGGAATTTTGCATTGTTCTATAATAAAACTTGTTTTAACAAAACATTAACAAAACATTAAATTAACTGTAATATAAATTACCACAAAAAGTTATTATTAAAAAGATCCATCCATCCATTTTCGTAACCACTTATTCCCTAATGAGGTTTCAGGGGGACTGGAGCCTTAGCCAGTAGTCAATGGGCGAGAAGCAAGGTTATCAAAACGATGTTTAACACAAATAAGTGCCTAAACCAGAAAGGTAAGGGCTCCCCAGGCAAACATCTCAAAATTAAAACCAAGTCTACAACACACACTCACACTCACTCCTAAGGGCTATTTCGAATGTCCAATTAACCTAACATTCAAGTCCCCCTGGGGAGTCAAACCTAGAACCCTCTTGCGAGGGAATGGTGCTAA